ATCAAACTGGCAAGAGGCACTGCTGACACAGGAGAGCCGGCCCCAAAGGGCAGGGGCGTTGAGAATGATCCAGAATGAAATTACCCCCAACACTTCAAACTCCCATGTCCCCTGTTCAAGGCAGAGACCAGTGTGCAAAGGGCCTCAGTCGATGCCAGCCGCACCACCCGCCAGCTGGAGGAGACGGTGGACGCCTTCCAGAAGCAGAAGCTGAAGGACCTGCAGGTAGGGGTGGCCAGTGTGGTGTGTGTGTGTGTGTGTATGCGCGAGTGCGTGTGTGTCCACTGTGAGGTTGTATGCACATGGCGTGCACATGTGTACTTGTGTATGTGTGCGTGTGTAGGCACTATGTGCGTGTGTCAGACATGAGCATGCTGTGAGTGTGCACACATGCGGGATGCGGGTATGGACGTGAGTACGGACATGTGTGCATGTGCGTGGCCTAGTGCCCACATGACTGTGGGAGCCAGGCTCGGGCACAGTTAATCCTGGCCTAATCCCTGCCTCAGGGGCAGGAGACCGGCTGCTGGGGCAGCTGTCAGCCCAGCTGGCCCGCCTGGCAGCCAGCACTCGGTAGCCCTGCCCCTCAGCTCCAGGCCCAGCTCCCCGCCAAGAGAGCTTGTCAGAGTCTGTCCACACCAGGACCCCCAGGAAGAGCCAGGACATCCCCTTGCCTCTGTCCCCTGCCCCGGCTCCAGCACCACCAGAACCTTGACCCCAGGGCCGCAGCTCTGGCCAGGGGGTTCCAGGGAATTGGGGTCCCCAGGGACTGCTCACCATGGAGATTCCTGGCCCCTCTAGGCTATTTTCCAAAATGCAACGCACATTCCAAAACAACCTCACACAGGGGGCTCCATCCGTCCCTCCTGCAGGTCCCTGGTCTTACAGATAAAAGCCAAATCCTTCCTGAGCCTCTGCAAGCCCCAGGTGAGCCCCGCAGCCTGGTCTTGCACACGCCCCTCCCGCACAAGTGCAGCAAGCCCTTCTGGACCTCGGGGGCCTTTGCACGGCTGTGCTCTCTGCTGAGACAGCTCTGTTCTCACTGTGCACTGAGTTAACACCTCCTCCTGCTCCAGGGAAACCACTGGACCCTCAGGCCGTCTGGCCCCCGTGGGCAGGCTCAGCTCTGCTCCTGGGGGTTAGTAATCCCAGGGAGGCAAACTCACTCTGTTATTCACTTGCCAATCCAGCACTCCGTGAATACACTCCTACTCAGTGCCTGGGGCTGGGGGCACCACAGCCAGCACAGCGAGGCCCCTGGCTGCCTGCAGCCTCCTCTGTGGGGTCCTGGCACCAGGTCCAGGGCCTGGCACTTCGCTGGTACTCAGTAAATACTTGGGAGGTGAATGAGCGAACGGGCAAATGCACTCATGACTGCAAATGGCAGCTGGCACTCAAGCTTGCTCACGCAGACCGGCCGAGGGCCCCAGCAGACGGCAATCAAGCACCGACGAGCAGAGCCCCGTGGGCGGCCTCGAGCCAGACGAGGCTCCTGCTCCGGGGCCAGACGCACAGTTTAGAACGGGCGACCTTTAAGCTTCTGGGGTGAAATTGGAGGCGACGCCGACCCGAACCAGCCCCCAAGCCCTCCACATTTTCAAAGCGATAAAATACCGGCGGCCTTTAGGTCGCATTTCTGAAAAATGATCATATTTGCAAAACGGCTCTTAGAAAAGAAGGCAAGCCTTGCTTTCCTACCGTGTGCTGGCAGAGCTGGAGGCGCGTCCAGTCACCTGGAGGGCACCTAAGGCAGCAGCTGGGGCAGAGGGCGCCCCCGCGTCTCCTCCCAGGGGTCCAGGGGGGCTCCTTGAGGAGTGACGGGACCAGGGCTGCCGCGCTGACGAGATCCACGCCGTGCGAGTGGCAGCGCTTGTGCAGATGGAAGACCAAGCCTCAGAGAGCAGACTTCAGGCCTCAGGCCAGCGAGGGGCAGGAGGAGGCCTTGCCCCCCATCTTCTTCACAGTCGCTACCAGCAGTGCTGGGGGGCGGGGGTGGCAGGAGGCAGGTCTTTGCAGCCCTGGGCCCCCTGTCCCCTTCCTCCTCCTCGCAGGCTGCTACGGTCCTTCCTCCGAGCCCCGAGCCCGAGCCCCCACCAGGTGCTTCCCATCTTGCCTGAAGGGCTGTGCTTCCACACTGCAGGCTCCACCCCCTTCCTCCCGGCCCCTGCCCACCCTCCCCACGCCTGAGTCCTGCTGGGGCCAAAGCAAAGCTGTCACCTCCACCAGGGCCCCCACACAGTATGAGTTTGTGCCAGGCCCTTGAAAAGAGGCAGGAAGGGCCACAGTGCAGGTTCTCTATGATTCTATGCAGATGGGGTGAAGGAGGAGGGAGTCCTGGGTGGGTTTTCAGGCTTTTTTTTTTTTTTAAAGATTTATTTATTTATTTGTACAAGCACTGGGTACAGTCAGAAGCGGGAGGGTGAGAGAATTCACCAGAGCCAGAGCGGGGAACAGAACAGGCAGACTGACGAAGTACACTGCTGAGGGGAGCAGCGGGCGGCAGGAGAGGTCTGCGCACCATGTGGGACCCTCGCCCGGCGGCCGGGGATCGAACCAGTGCTGCAGAGGCTGCGGGCAGCTTCGCAACCCAGCGCTCAACCGCTGCGCCACCAGGGAGGCCCGGTTTTCAGGCTTTTATTGGGATTTGCCAGACACACAGCTGGCAGGGGTGCTGGGGGGCCGGGAGGCTGGCAGGCCTCCCAGCCCCAGCAAGTCCTCACTCTTGGCTCTCCAGCCTCTCACATTCTCTCTGCTCTTCCTTTTGTTCTGCTTCTGCTTCTACTGGCATCCCCATGACGCCACCCTTAAAAGCCCAGTCTTAGCACAGGTGAATCCCATCTACCTATGCCCACACCCTACTCCAGGTGCCCGCCATCAGGCATGCATTCAGGACCGCAGGGTTCCGTCATCTATCCTAATAGCGGGAGGGCAGAAAAGCCTGATACTTTTACCTTACCCTACAGCCCTGCACACAGTAGGAGCTTATGGTAGTCCCTGCACACAGTGGGAGCTTGTGCTAGGCCCAGCACACAGCAGGAGACCCTCTGGGACCAGACAAGCAGTATTAATCTGGAAGAGCTTGCTGTGCTGGGCCAAGACAAACCATCAGATCTAGAGCAGCCAACATCTCTATCACTAAATTGTGCTGTGGGGCCTCTGGGCTAAGCAATGGCTCACCCCAACACACACTTCTCTCAAAAGATTCACTCACAGCCCATGGGTGACAGACTGAGGTTTTGCAGCCATCAAACTGTGAACACCTGTCCTGGGAGTGAAAGAAGCAGATGGTGCTAAAGAGCCCAGGGGTCAGAGCTAAGAAAATGCTCCCCCCTCACTGAGTCTTGAACATTTCTAGAACAACCCCTGTGCAGGCAGCTTTGCATGGGAATACAGTATCTGCTCAAATTATGTAGCATACTGACCTAGGCCTCCTTCCGTCCTCACCTCCCACATACCAGTTTGCCCACCATCCCGGCCACCCCAGGACTCCCCTTTGAGTGAATCCTGGCCATCCCAGGACTCTCCCCAGCCTGAATGTCAGGGTCCAAACCCGCCTCTGTGTGGGGATGTAACTTGGGCTTCCCTCTCCGTAGACAATATTTTTGGACTTCGTCACCATTGAGATGGTCTTTCATGCCAAGGCTGTGGAGGTGTATTCCAGTGCCTTCCAGACGCTGGAGAACTATGACCTAGAGAGAGATCTGGAGGTGGGGCATTCCTGTTCTCTTTGGGGTGAGGGCGGATCTGGCCTTGTCCCACCTTCCCTCCCCATGACACTTCTTCCACACCTGTCCTGATCCCTCCATCCACCCTGTCCCCCCCGCCCCTCCAGGACTTTAGAGCCAAGACTCGGAATGTTTGTGGGCAGCCTGACACTGCCCGGCCACTCCGCGGCACCAGCCCACCCCCGGCTGCCCCGTGGTTTCTCGTCAGCCAGGTGAGCCCTGGGGGCGGTGGGGTGGGGTGGGGTGTCGGCTGGCACAGAGGGTGGTGACTGGGGAGTTGGCTGCAGCAGTCCAGAGGCAGGGGTCGCTGAGAGCCTGGACCTGGAATGGGGTGCTGAGGAGAGGGCTCAACCTAGGAGGCTCGACCTGGGAGGGCTGCCCTGGCCTGACGCAGACTTTGCCTCAACTGGAATCAATAAACCAAATATCCCAATATCCCAGCGGGTTTGGGGGGTGGCTCCCTATGGAGGAGCATCCCCTGGAGGCCCCCTGTGCTGTTTCCAGGCATGCAGTGGAAGGCTTTGCCTCCCAGCTCCAAAAGTCAAGAATTCCAAGGATTTCAGCACAGCAATGTGGTGTTTTATATATAACACATCACCCAGCGAGGCTGGGAATCAGGCACATTATGTTTCTGCAGAGAGCCCTTGGGGTGTTGAGCCCCGTTGGGTAAATAAAACTAAGCAGCCTCGGGCCAGTCAGGCCAGGTTGTCACTCAGTGAGTGGGGCATGAATGGGGAGCTGGCCTGTGGTGTGTGCAGTGGGGGAGGCAGGGGTGGCCTGGATTTCCTGGCTTTCTGGACAATTCTCTGGAGGAGAATTGGACCCCAGCCTGAATACCAGGGTCCAAACCCAAGCTTTGTGATCTTGGCAAAGGTCTTTAACCTACCTGTGCCTTAGGTGTCTCACCTGCAGAGGGGGGCTAATAAAGTAACCCCCTCAAAGGCTTGTGATGTTCAGTGAATGAATCTATGAGAAGCACTTAAGAAATAATATTACTATGGTGGCACCATTACTGTTACTGGCATCGATGTTGTTGCTGTGCTGATGATTCCTTTCAGAGTGCTCAGAGCACCACGCAGAGCCAGAGGAAGGAGGAGGAGGCCAGCGAGGATGACTCTGCTGAGGAGGACCCCGTGGAGGACCTGAGGGTACAGGGGCAGGGACTCCATCAATAGGATGTCTTCTGAACAGTGGGAGAAGCGGGGTCAACACAGGACGCTTGGAGAGCTCTGCTGTGCCCCACTACACGTGTCCCCTGAGTCTCAGTTTCCTCATCTGTACAAAAGGCTTAACACCACTCACCTCCCGGGTAGTGTTGCAGATCAATGTGCCTGGTGCATAGTAGGTGTTCAATAAATGTGGGACCCCCTGACCCCAATCTTGCTGCTTTGCTTTCCTACCTCGTGGTGGGGACCCCGGGGTGTTACACCATGTTAATATTGAGAGCTGGGGGTCAGTCTCCCAGGTCAGCCTTAAGCCACAGAATCATCTCTCCCGTGCGTGGGAGAAGTCTGGTCAGGGTGGCAGTAGGGATCCCTTATGGGCTGAGGCAGGGTCTGCCCAGGCCCCTCTTCCAGCCCCGTGGCCTGCTGGCATCTTTGGATTCCTTGCTTTGTAGCAGCATCACCATCCTGGCCTTCCCTTCACACGGTGTCCTCACTGTGAGTGAGTCCAAATCCCCTAGTTTGCAAGAAGAGAGTCATGCAGGAGGACTCCACCCTGGTGACCTCATCCTTACACACTACATCTGCAAAGGCTGGCTCCAAATAAGGTCATGTTCTGAGCTGCTGGGAGTTAGGACTTCAACACACAACACCCAGACATCAGGTCTTGCTGTATAGGGATGACTTTGGAGGAGGAGACAGCAAAAACCTAGGGAGGTAGAGGTGTGGGGAAGGTGGAGGAAGATGCAGTCACCATGATGTCCTCATCAGCAAAGTGGGGAACACAGTATCTGCCACAAGGGGTCACGGCAGGATTAGTGTCCTCAGCACAGTGATCTGAATTGCCCCAATCCTGTTCTGCAGCACCTCCTCAGGGAAGGTGCTGGAATCCACTGGGATTCCACCAGGGAGGATAATCCACAAATAGCTAATACCTGTTTTTTCTGTCTACTGAGTAACAAAGTCACATGTCACAGACTAAATTGGGCATGACAGTCACATCTACATACTTTCTCTCTTTTCCACAAGCATATATATGTGCACACACACAAATGTATGTTTCAGCCTCAGCCGCACCTGTCCCCCTTACAGTTTCTGATGGCAATGACCTTACTTACTCTTTGTTCCTGGGCCCCCTGGTGCCTGGCACACAGTTGGTGCTGATTAAATGTGAGCTGTTTGTGTGAGGCAGGAGCTATAATCAGGCTCCCCAATTACCCCCAGATCCCCCCAAGTTCAAGAGGCAAGGCAGCTTCAGTTCAGGAAAAGCAGGCTTCTGATTCCAGCTGGAAGGGTTTTGAGACATCCTGGAGGCTGGGGCTGGGATCCAGCCGAGTCGGGGCCATTCCCTGTACCCACCCCGCTTCCAGGGGCATGGGACCACTCAGGGCCCTCGACCTACAGCTGCCCTTCCAGAGTTTCCCACGAGACACTCATGTGCACAGAAGCCAGTTGCCCAGCCCCTGTGGGGGACGTCAGCACTTTGACCTTAGAAAAGCCACTGATGTCACTCGATAATTGCCAATTCCAGAAAAAGCAGTCACAGACCTGTGAAAACAGAAATGACAGACTGACTTTTTTTTCTTTGAAAGATAATTTATTTCAGTTCCCACCTTCTGACAATCGCAGGTGCAGGAGACAGATTCCTTCTGCACCAGGACACAGCTTTGATTTAGCACTGTTCTGAGGGCTGAGCCTAGAAACTTCCTCCACCTCAAAACATAGTTTTAGCACATGACCTAGTGGGGCCACAACTGCATGGCTCAGGAGCCCATGCCTCAGAACTGGACTTCTGGACACCAAAGGCCACGCCAGGATGCGACGCAGGCAGGTTTAGGTCCAGGAAGGACTGGGTGCAGGAGAAATCAGAGCACACAAGTGTGAACATTGCTGAAAGCCCCACACAATCCATGATTCATTACCAGGCAGTAACCGTGGGACCTATTCTAAGTGAATAAATACATGCCCGTCGTTGCAATTTCTAGCATTTACAGTTGTTCAAATGCTTGACTTGTCTTACACGGTGGCCACAGAAATCAATGGCCCAGGCTTGCCTGAGGATCGTCCCCACTCCAAGATGCAGGGAGCAGAACTGAGCCACACTGACGCCTCCAGTGTTGGGCAGCAGGGAACCCTCCCCCATGGTGGTGTGCCTCTCTGCCATTTCCGCCAGCACCACCTCTAGAACAAGGAGGGAACAGCCAGGCCCTACTGGAGAACTGGCTGCAGGCCAGAGGGATTTACCGCAGCAGCCCTCTTCCTAGTTCAAGTGCAGACCCCGGCAGGGCCACTCAGGTGGGGCTCCAGTCTGACTCTTCTTGTCAAAACCCCAGTCTGCAGGTGGAGCCAGGATCCGGGTTCTCCCAGACATACTGAGGGAGGTGGGTATGTGGGAGGGTCAGGAGAGGGGTCATCCCATGGCGCCCTGACTCTCCTGAAAATGAGTGTTTCCTTTCCAATCCTGAGAACAAGGCCCCCACTTACAACCCTTGCAGGGAGTTGGGTCTGCTCAGAGCTCATGCTGGACAACTTGGGGACACAGGCCTGCAGCAGGATGCCAGGGTACAGAGCAGAGTGTCACCCTCCCCCCACCTTCAACACTGCACTGTATCAGACACAGGCCCAAGAATGGTAAGGGAGACCAAGGCACAGAATGAGCCCTGCCTGAGGCTCCGTGGGGTGGTCTAGTGTGTGCACTCTGGGTGTGAACAATCTAAAATAATTCATCCCCCCGTTATCCTGTGACCAGCACATTTCTGTTGCCAGACACGTGTGGGTTACGATACACTGGGAAGTCTGGTCTGGTGAACAGTTCTGCCAGGGTCCATCCAGCACTGCATGTCAGTCATTGAGGGGCACTGCCAGTCCCTTTACCCTGAAACTCAGCTGTAGGCTCTTCATGGCAAACACCTCCCAGAGTTCTAAACAATAAAGGCTTTATCAGAAAAGAAGGCCTCGGGGCTCCCCACCCAGCAGCTTCTGATGTCAAGTTGAGAAATATGACTAGCCTGTGACCATCAGCTGGCTACCTTCCTCAGTGCCCCTACCTTCTCCCTTTACCCCCCATGCTGCCCAGGGTGGTGGGCAAACTGCTTGCTGCCTGGCGGCTAAAGTTTCAGGTCACTTGCTATTAGAGTTGCTGTCACCACATGCCCATCTGACTCCTTTCTGAGAAACCAACGAGGCAGCTGCTGTGGCTCCCAGGAGGGCCTGGTCTGCCTAGGGAGGCCCCACCTCTGGTGGGCTAGACAATGCCCCTTAAAATTCCTCCGGGCTGTGAACTCAGTGCTCCCAGAGCTCAACTAACCACTCTAACAGTCTGTGGAAAAATACGCCTTGGGTCTACAGCCTCCAATTTGCACCCGTGAACCCCAGCATCTGCTGGGCCTGGAGAGGTGAGTGTAGATGCAGTGGCTTCTGCTCCAGAGAGGGACATGGACAGAGCAGGCGATACTGCCTTTGTGGGTTCACTGCTTAGCAGGCATACCCCAGGATTGGATTTGGGTACAGAACTCAGGTATCAGAATACTCTTTGTCATTTAAGAGCTCAGTCCACGTTTTTTTCTTTCACTAACAGGAAAATCGTAGTTGCTCCATTTCATTGTATAAACGAGGTGGTCAGTGCTGTGGTGTGCACGCTCAAGAGTGCACATGGCAGAAGTGATCTGCATATGAAGGTGCCCCCTTGGACACCGATCAATGTGCTAAACTTGTAACAAAGGTAAGGACACACAGAGCTGCAGCTTCCACTGTCCCGCTCTCGAGGCAAGAGCTCTTAGGAATGTGACTGGGTTTGCGCACCCTCTGGCTCACTGGCCCTGGAGGACAGATGGCAGGATCTGCCCAGTGGCCTTCAGAGTGCCTGGTCTTGCACGCTCGCCCTGCTGGGGCTGTACTCTGTCTCCAGAACAAGGGAGCACTCCTTGCCCTGAGTCCCATGCCCTGGGTTCCTAGGATGTCCCTGTGCACACAGGAGGGGCCCCTCCTATATGCTGGCAGCTCCCGAGTGTACCTGCTGGCCACCAGGCACCCCTCGCAGCTGCTCGTCCAGGCTTTGGAGGGAGATGACATTCCCTAATAGAAGGCAAATCTCTGGAATACTGCAATTAATTGTTCCAAAGTTTAATTAAAAACACAATTTACAAATATTTAATATCTTCTGAAAAGCATTTCCAAGTTTAGAATGAAAAAAAAATATATACATAATATGTAATCAAATGCCGTTTAGCTTCAAATCCCAACAGGTCCACACTTAACCACATCAGTCTTTTTAGGTTCTTCAAAATCTGAAAGGAAAGAGATAGCACTTCATTTGGGTTAAAGGTGCACAGTTACCACTGTAGCTTTTAAAATTATTTTGGCAAGCATGTAAAAATCTTTATTCTTTAGGCAAATGGATAAAAACCCAAAGGAAGCTTATTTGAAACATAAAGAGAAACTGTCAAATGTTTCTTGCATGGGGAGCATGGACAGTCCCTTGACTCACAATGCCCCCATCTCCTGGGGCCCCTGGCACATACCTGCTGTTAAATCCACGAAGTTGTTTTCTACGACAGGGGAGGGAAAGGAAATCCCCAGCGCCTTCCGCACCCCATGCATGCTCACGATGTCCCCTGGTGTTACTTGCTGTGCAAGTTCTTTAAGATTATTGGTGACTTGTTCAGCTAGAAAGAAGAAAATCACAAACAGTTCCACGTATTGAAATGTGGTCCTAACTTTAGGTAATAAAAAATAAATCAAAGAAACAATAAATAACACAAAAAATAAGCCGTTGATGGTCTTCCCTCCAGTACTACCGCTCACAAGGTTTTTCCTTTAAGCACCCCAATTCTTCTCTTATGGAGACGCAACATACCAAGATGCATTTCTCTGTACGAGGGGCCCAAGAGACAGATCATGTTGGGTGGGGGCCTGGTGCTCAGCCGCTCGTTCTGGGCTTCCTGGAGCTCCCTGAGCAACCTGGTGGTTTCATCAAGTTTCCTCTGGAACACTTCAGCTTCTGCGAGGTGAGAAAAAGACCACGGAGCATAACATGCTTGTGTCTGAGCCTGCGCAGTAAACTGAGTCATATGTGCTAGGATTTTTGCTATTTATTGGATAGTCTTCTCCAAGGAGAACACCCCCACATGAAACAGCACCACAGACGTGCTTTATCACTCATTTAAGTGAGGCCGCTGAGATCTCCCTGGGTGAATGGCCAGGTTAATCTTTGCTGCGACACTGACCCTAACAGCCGCCATCATCACGTTTCCATCACGCTTTCTGGAGATACGCACCTTCAGAGTCAAAGACTTCCACTGGGGCGCCGACGCTTGTTACTGCTTTCAGCGCTGTGAGCCTGTCCTGATTATTGGAGTCTAAATGCCCCACTGGCTCGATTTCCGTAATCTGCTATTAAAAAAATAAAGCATTGAGTTTGCCAAACCGTAGCAGTGTAGAATGAGAAGAACACAAACAAAATGGTTTGTGTTCACATAGGTAGCTACTCCATCTATTTATTTTGGGGTCATGACTTTGATGCCTAGAAAAGTCTTCCCAGCATACTCTTACAATGCCATTTCCAAATCCAGGCAAAAAAAGTGTCCATAAGCCTCACTTTTCATTGACTTCCAGTGTAATCAGGAGTCTCTGGCAATCTGCATCTGGCTCCTGCGGCCAACACTCCATCTCTGGAAAGTGGCGAGAGCCTGTGACTAAGCTGTGGGATACTGCTGGTGTGACCCCGCCTCATGCTTCTGAGGCTCCCCAGGCCCCTAGTGACACACACTCTTACACGACATCCTGAAGCTAAGACATTTCCTGGATCTTGGTACCCAAAGTTAGGCTGTCAGTATTGTATGGGAGAAGCCAAATCTTGAAAAGGGTAGAGTTTTATTTTTGAAATCATCAGGCTCAGTTTCCGTAACCTCAGCACTAAGTTTTAGGAACAGATCAACCCAGGTAACGGGACCAAAAGCTCACGGCTGCAGATACCCTTTGGTGCTGCATTCCAAGCTCAAACAGTGTGAACACCTGATCTTTCCACCTACACGTGGGCTGAAAAGGGTGGAGGAAAACTGTCGCTGAGGAACTTGGCACCACACATACTAAACATGTGCTGCTGCAGTTGGGCCCTCACTGCCCCACACTCGATTGTGTGTGTGTGTAGAACTGGGGTATGGGCCAGAGGTGCAGGGGGTGAGAAGATTCACCAGAGATAGAGTGGGGAACAGAGCAAGTGGATTGACTGAAATCCACTGCTGAGGGGAGCAGCGGGGAGACAGGAGAGGTCTGCTGCGCCCTGTGGCTCAGCTCCCGGGCCGGGATGGAACTCAGGCCTCAGGGTGACAGTGCTGAGACAACCCGAGGTTAAGGGAGGCCCCCACACTCGTCTCTGCTCCGTACCTGGCTTCCTTTTCCCGTTCTCCAGGTCCCTTTCACTAAGCATGTGGCCTCGCTGGGTTTCTCTTTCCTTGACAACGACATGGTTTTGTAAACACCATCTACCTGCATCTTTACTTGAGCTCACACCTTCATGTTTACTTTCCCCTCACTGAAGACGATTATGTCTCTAACTCCAAATGGCCCTGCAGTTTACTGGACCCGTCCTGTTACGGTCGGAAGTGACACTCACTGGGCTCCTCTCAGCGGACTCCTATGCAGCATCTGACCTGTCACCTGTCTCCACATGCTGTGCTTTCACAGTTTTTCTGTCTTAACCCTGGGTCTTCTCCAAGGTCCTGTTGTGGTCTTTCCTAGCCTACGGTTGGTTTTGTTCACCCCACCAAAAATTCCACTTTTATGCTAACAACTTTCAGATCCACATCCACAGTCCAGATCTTGGAGTTCCAGGTCTATACCTTTAATGATGTCCCCAATTACTCACCACATCTGAAACCCAATGTAATTCTTTTCCCTGCAGAAGGTGTACTTCCTTTTCTGTATTTCTGATGGGAGGTGACAGTATGTTATCTAACTGCTGTCAACTTCAGTTCTGTTGTATTCCTTAAGCCTCTACTCTTATCTTTTACATTGTTGTGTTACCTACCTTCCGGCCTGGACAAGCTCCACAGCTCTACACTGGACCCCCCTAGTAGCCCCTCTCCTCATTTTATCATAATGTCCTACCTTTAGGATATAAACTCAATTTCTTAGCACTGCCTACAAGATGCTCCCCACCGCTTCCTCCTCACCCCTGCAGCCTCCTCTCACAGGTACTTGATGGCCACCTGCTCTCCAAGCTCTCAGCACATGTGCTTGAGCTCTCAGGCCTATTGCTGCTGTTACACATGCAGTTCGCTGCAGCTGACTGAGCCTGCCTGCTGGGGGAACATCCAGTCATTCTTGTAGACACCCCCTCTGTGAGGCTCTCCTCAGCAATCCAAAGCAGTTCGTTTCTCCAACCTGTGCTCCCACGACACAGACATTTAGACTGTGTGGCACCTGCTTTGGCTCCCTTGGTGACAGGCCTGTTTGTTGCACTATCTACCTCTGTTGTCCCCACAGGCAAAGGAAGTTTTTCTACCTCAGGAGAGTCTCCAAAAATATTTTCCTTCCAAAACAAAGTTTATCATTGAGGGCTTTTAGTTTACTCGACATTTAAATATTCCTCATAAAGAATACTTTCCATAAAGCAGAAATAATTACCTCCATTTCTTTCACTGCGTCAAGTGTCCTAGTCTGGTCTTCACCTTCAGGCGATGACTGCAGGAAAAAGAAAAACACCTTTTGTTTATTAAAATAGACACATGAAAGGCAAATATCAAGAAAATAGAAAAAAATACCAAGTTTTATAACAAGAGAACAGGAATAAGAATATAGATTACTGGACTGTAACTTTTAAAACCAAAAGGAAATTAGATATAGTTACTAGCATTTTGAGAGTATTTTTTGAGTAAAGAATAATTGTCATTGGTAACTTCAAGATTGATATTTCTATGCCTGATCAAAGAGCTATTCAAGTTTAAAAAGGTATTTAGCATGGCCAAGTGGTCTAAGGCGCTGGATTTAGGCTCCAGTCATTTTGATGGTGTGGGTTCAAATCCCACCACTGCCATACTGCTCCTTTTTCTATGGCAACCACACCTCAGGGGGGAGATCATATATTGGCCAACAAGTTAAAAAGGTATTTAGCAAATAGCATACAAGCACATACATAAACGAAGCCTATTTCAGTAATAGCTGTAATGAGAAGGTGGGAGGAACTCTAGGGACTATTTTGCATTAACAGAGGCAATATTCTAATCCAAACTGGAGGAACAACTCTAGGCTGCAAAATATTCAAATGCTAAGGAGAATGTGAAAGCTTTCCATAATCCAAACATGTTAATGCCTAAGTAAGCAATATATCCTTATTTATAACATTTTCTAGGGTGAAGTCTGAGAAAAAGAACTGCTAGATCCAAGGGCAGAGAAACTAAATTAGAACTATTTTGCCATTACCAACCAAATGAAAGATAGTCAATTTTATGTCAGGACAATGAATTCGGATGGATCGGAAGGGAACAGTAAAACTGGCTGTGAATTGGTATAAGTGTTTTCAGGTGATGTGCTGAGACTGCAGAGCAGTTCTCACTGACCGTTAGGTGCTGGTTCAGCTTCCTGACAAATCCCCCAAGGGCGAGTGGCCACAGGTACAATGAGGGCAGGGACAAGCAACTACAGCCACAGTCCAGAGGGGCTACCACCCCCAAGAGCTACAGGGCTCCTCTGACCAGGTGAAGAAGATACTCTGGAGGTCAGCTCTCCTCTACACCACAAGGAACATTTTCTGGTTCTAATCTTTAAATCAAGTATCCGAATTATTTCAGATATGAAGTATGTCCAACTGAACTGGAGAAAGTTCACAAGTGTTAACAAAAGACAGCAATGAGGAAGCTTTTTTCTTTATCTGAGGCTCCTACCACTGCATTGTACTGCGTAACAAGGAAGAGGACATTCCCTTTTATTAGTCAATGGCTCAGTCTGAAGCCAGAAAATAAGATTTCCCTTTTTCCGTAAGGGGACTATAGCACCCTAATGTTGACTTCTAAGCTGAAAACCCCATTTTTGACCCCTTTATACCCACAATGAGGAGACCATGAAAATTCTCCGGTCTTCACAGATCCCGGTAGCCAAGTTATTTCTTCCTGTTCTTTGTCCTCCACCTGTGGTCTCCACCGGCGCTGGGCCGTCCTTTCGGGGAATGGAGGTCAGCTGCCACACTGGCTAATCCCATGCTTTCGTAACACCGAGTGACTAATGCTTGGAAGTCAATACCCTATTTTACCCTAAATTACCCTAAATTACCCTATTTCTTTAGCAACAGTCTTACCGTCTCCAATTCTTGCAGGGTTCTAGAATGACCTCCTTTTGTTAAAACATCCAGCAAACTATCTGCCATGACATATGGATAATCTTGACATGTGGCCAAAAACTCATGGATGCTGAAAGAGAGTGTTGGCAAAGTCATTTTTATATGAATCATCTCCACTGGCTTAATCATCATAGCCATTTTTTTTCATCAGATGGCCTTAATTTGTATTTGTATACCACGATATAAAACTTTCTGTCTAGAAACAATACTGTATTTACATATCTACCAGGGATAAGCTTTTCATCACTGGAGAATTAAACAACATCAAGTATACAGTGACAATGAAATGCGCCAAAGAAAAATAAGACCTGGGTGATGTAGGGGCCCCGGGTTCAGTCTGTGGAGTTCCACTCCCCACGTTATACCTCCAATTTGGATCACACCCTTCAGCCAGTTCTGTCTGCATGGCTAATAGGCATCTCAGACTTAAAATGTCTAAAACTTAGTTGCTAGATATTCCTAAAGAAGTCCTTCTAAAACCTCCCCCTTGTCAATAAACACCAACTTCATCCTTCCAGGCTCTCTGTAATCCTGCAGTCATCCTTGACTTTCTTTCTTCTCATACCCCACTTCAGCTTTGAAACACCGCAAGTTATGAAAATAAGAGTCAGTAAAGAAATCCTATTGATTAACTAATGATCCCTTCTCAGCACCTCAACCATTATTCTCCGAGTCCAGCTCTTCTTGAGGGTGAAGGCAGTCTCCCTATGTCTACTTCGCCCCCCCAGGCAATCTATTTTCCACCCATTTGAAAATTTTGAGTTGGAACGGGTGATCAATCTGCTCAAAATCCACCAGTACTTTTCCATCTCACTCAGACTAAGTCCTTACAAAGATCTACTCCAACCTGCCGCTCTGTAACCAGTTTGCCCTGCATATGTTCTGCCTCTTCCCGCTCTCCTTGCTGTTCTCTGCATGTGCCAGGCACGTGCCAACCCAGGGCCTTGTACCACGACCCCACTGGCTGGAACGCTGCTCCTTCAGATGACATCACCACCTGCTTCTTTACCTCCTTCAGTTTTTGCTCTGTGTTCACCTTCTTAGTCAAGTAGGGCCATTTCTTGATGACCCAACTAAAGTTACATACCAATCCCAACACACTCTACCTTCCTTTGTGTCTTTACTTTCTCCTCAGCACTTATTAGTAACTGACTGGGGGACATGGATCTTTCTTAGTATTTGTCCCTTGTGGATCCCTCAGCTCCTGGAAGAACGTCTGGCACACAATGAGTAAGCAATGCCTATTTGTGGGATGCATAGATGAATAAACCAGAAAGAATTTGTCCAAACTGGTGAGGTCTAAAAGAAATAAATGACTTGATCTTAAATTACAGTCATGCTCTGTCTTAAGGACCCATCTTATAAAAACACTGTGTTGATACCACCATGCACACATGAAAGTGAACAATTCCCTCACTGACAGAAAACCAGTGAATGGATTAATCTGTAGGACTAAATTATTATATAAAGTCAGCAAACTACCAATGCCAGCTCAATGCCCCACCGAGTCAGAATCCTGGTAAATGAGGGTGACATCTCATCATAGCTATGGGATACAAAGGTCCAAAGAAGAGCAAAACAGGGACTATCTCCCATGGGAAGATTTCCTGAGATGGGGAGCATAGCTGCAACAGTTTACTGGTATGTGACGGGTCTAACAGGTATCTATGTGGGTCATCTTAGGAATCAGGTCGTCATGTCTTGACTTTTATCTTGAGGGAATGTGCTGTAGGTCCCCAAACTGACTCACATGACTCACATGACTCACTGACACATGACAATGTTGCAGTAGAGCAGATGGCACACCCACATTCTGAAGTAATAAGTTCCTGAATTTCAGTATCAGTTGATACAGCATCTTTAAAAACATATTTTAAAGAATTAAAATATCGCAGATGCCAACATCAGGAAGGACTGGGGAGATATGTTGTGTGTTTAGAATGTTTAGTTTCCACTAAAGGATGTGATAACTAAGGGTCCATATTTAATTACTATCAATTAAGAAAAGGTATACATTTTCTACCTTTTGGGTAACTGTGTAAGTCTATCCATTGATCACATGTGTATATAAATATTTTTGGAAAATGTTGTATTTGGAATATTGAGGAACTAGAGACTCACCTGAAATCACTGGGCAGGTCAGAGTCTTCCCCATAGGTTGAATAGATTAAATCAGAATCGTCCTTGCTAATATTTGCAAATGTGGAGTCATAATGTGGTGCATAAGAACTGTAGGGTCCATAATTCAAGTATAACACTGTTGACAAAAATCAAATATATATTATTCATTACTTTGTATGTCAATCTAAGTTTTTTTGTTTCATTAAATATTATTCCCTTATACCTTTACTTCTTTACTAACTGGATACAGATGTAAGAAGACATTTTCCATCCCAAACAGATACTTGCAAAATTACAAGCGATTTTTTCCCCCACAGAAGGGAGAGGGAAAAAAGAAAAAACAAAATTCATTTAGAATACGACTATCTGACTTTTCAGTTTCCTCTTAAGTTAACAAAACAGTCTTGCAATAATACCACTCAGAGAGTTAGTGAATAAAGCAGTAAGTGGGAACATGCTTCTTTCCCCTAATTCCCTGAAGTGGAAGAGAGAAAACATGGCCACCATGTGGGAGACTTACCTGGAGTTACTTTGTTCCTTTTATCTTCTTTGAATCCCTGCAAAGTATTCACTCCAGACTGAAGCCTTCCAGTTGTCATCCCCAGCCTCACGGGGCAGTAGCCTGGCTCTAAAACAAGAGGGAGGAGGGAGGCCCACCTGGTGACGAGATGGCCGTGGCAGCACTGTGTGCAGGCACACGCCTTCCTGCCATCCCAGGGGCACTGGGGAGGAGGCTGAGCAGCCCTTACTATAACCCATTTTCACCTAAGATATTCTGAGTTTAGAAAGCAGAAATGTAGACAGGAGCAAACCCTAATTTTCATTCTACTCTACTGCTTCCTATACTTCTTCATGATCATGTTACATTTCAGCTACCAAAAATAAAAAATAAACGTTGAACCTTTTAATGCTCAGATGGGTCCTCCGTGGTGGACTAGGCATTTAGTCTCAGTGCTATCATTGTTACAGCCTGAGTTTGATCCCCGGCCAGGCAGCTGCCCCACATGGCACATTGACCTTTCCTGTCTCCCCGCTGCTCCCCTCAGCAGTATATTTCAGCAGATCTGCCTGTTCTGTTCCCCACTCTGTCTCTGGTGAATTGTCTCTCCCCCCTGCTCCACCACCTCTGGCTACACCCCAGTTCTTAAAAAAAAAAAAAAAAAATTAATGCTAAGGTGATGGAAGTAAACCAGTTGGAAAGGTTAGGAAAACACCTCGGATTAAAGATAACAAGAACTCATAATATATTTAGAATAAGAGAATTTACAAGACATATCTTAGTGTACTGAGTGATAGCCTTTTAAGATGTGATCCCCAAACCAGAACAAACCCCTATAATGACACTAGAAATCTGTGATAGGAGCAGAAGAACTGAGAAGGACAGTATCAGAGAAGGATGATGTCAAGAAAATATGCAGTCTCTGACAATACCCAAAGAAAGGGTGTTTTTCCTCTCCTGAAGAGGAGTCTGGTTCTCGTAACATGATCACCCCAGAATAGCGTTTACAGGTGATCATCAGGGTGACAGAATAAAAGTGCTTGTGAGGAACTTCAGACATCTAAATTGGCTCTTCTCTGCTTGGCAAGCACTCTGGAGGCTGGTGTCCTAATGGGTGCTGGTACCCCCACCAGGAAGATGATCCTTGGAAGTGAACAAGGGCATCTTCCACCTAAATAGGAAAATGGGCCTCCTGAGGAGAGCTGCTGTGAAATGTGAGGAGTCAAATCAACTTTGGCCACATGTAATTATGGCTACAGGGGTCAGAAACCAGACCAAAGTAGAGTCTAAACTCGGTGTAAAGAAAGGGGCAGATCTGAAAGTATCACTCAAATCAAGCTAGTTGCATCTCCTATCATCAAATTTTTACTACAGCTGTCCTGGAAACAGCAAGGTGTTCAGTCCTGCGGCATTTTATTTGACCCAAAACCATTTAAAATTCAACAGTGAACATTTCATAAAGGAAAAAATGAGCTTTGTTTTGAAGACATGAGCAGCTCCTTTGTCCCTAAGTCAGGGAGCCTATTAATGTTCTCTTAAGCAATTCGTGATTGGAATGCACTTAGTGCTAGGCTTGCCCTTTTAGTCCTCAAATGCACCAACTATCGCCTGCTTCAAGGTTTATTTTACCTATTCTTCCCTGACCCTGTACTCACCACGGGGTCATTAAGCATCACATGCAGCATAATTCTGTGCACCCACCTCCTACAATGGGATCCACAGGGTGGAGAAGGCCTAACGTCGTCGTTCCATCTGGCTTTCTTCTTTCAAATTCACACTGCAATGAGCCAAGGTATTCAGAGGGCATAAGCAGTTTTATACACACACAGTATATATGAAACATTCATATCTTATTTCTGTATTAAGTATTATATATAAATGCACATAGAATAGAAACCAGAGAGCCTTACTTTAATCAAACTAATATAAGTGATTATTGACATACTCAGATATTAACTTTCATGCCTTTCTGCCTGTAGACAGATGCTGATGAGCTGAAGAACAGGTCACCCACTTTTGTCCACTGTTAAAGGATAGTGAAGAGCAGGGAAAGGAAGTGACTCGATGAGAATCATGTATTAGTCCATTTGGTTTTAAAACCAATTTGTTAAATATTATTATTTTAAAAGACCAGAGTATGTGTGTTTTCTTGTTAAGCTTAACATAAAATAGGTGGTTCATTTTCTAGTTTCAGAACACATTAACCTCACTCAAAAGAAAAAAATCCAGTCATAGAGCATAGGATTAATAACATACTTAAACAAATTCATCAAGTTTTCTTCTGAGCATCATACCAGAGTGTTCTCCAAGCAGATATGGACTAAGAGCGTACAAGCAACTTAAAAACTTCAAGTTTCGGACAATCTGCATCAGCAGGCAGTGAAAAGAAAAGTCGGGTCACCTGACTGTTAACGAGCCGCCGGGTTAGCTTTCCTCCAGATTCCTTAACGATGCGGTCAATCTGCTCCTGCTCTCTCTCTAAATTACTGCTTCTAAATTTATCTTCAATCAAGTCTTTGTCTTTCCTGAAAACACATATTAATACTAAGTAAAAAAAAATAATAAATAACCCAGTATGTTGGTAAGTTCCCTCTATTTTTGCATCCAGTGTTAATTTGCTTTACTGTTTTTCTCAGTACATTCATAAAAATGAATTCTACTTAAAATACATTTTGAAGGGAAAGCAGCAAAAAATTTTTTCTTTTTAAAAAATTTCATTTTGGAATTTAAAATAAACATACATTTAAAACATATAAACCTTAGAAATACAACAAAAACTCGTCAGAAGTTTACTTTTCTTTGCACTAAAGAGCTCCTGCCCAGAGCTGACGGTGAGGCGGTGGGCATTAGGCCTGGCAGTCAATGGTGTGAGCCGGATGTACATGACTCTGTCCAGTCATGCTGGTCACTGCCCGGCAGGACCAGTTTCGTCACTGCTCCCAGCAGCTGCAGTCTGGGGAAAGCATGCATGCCTCTCAGTGACAGCCCCGCCATTTAGGAGTAGCTGTAACTGCTTAGCTGCTACCTCAATTCCTCTCCTGAATGAGACGTGTACTTTTTTTCTTAAATAGTTGTTTAATAAACTCACTAAAAATATGAGTCCCTAAAGGTGAGTTATTGGCTCTGCGAACTACCTTGGTAAGAATACATAGTCAGAACGGTTTTCTGAACTGTGTTAGGACAACTCCGTGTCATGCATTGTACGGGAAGAGGGCATCACATTATCAAAACAGATCTTCGTGGCCAAAGCCACTATCCCACCAGAGACAGGTCTTTGCAAGGTAGGCCCTGACTCTGTATCGCCACCACCCTCCCCCACCTCCCTAGCCTGAAAAAGACAGCTTAACCTTAATATTCTGAAGATACTTTACTTTTTGTTTTCCTTGCTGGGGCTCTTGAGAGCCTGTGCTTCAGCCTCCCCAGTGTCGTCCCGGTCTCTCGGCCAGCCACTGCTGCTGTCCTCCCCGCTCTGCGAAGTGTCTGTCCTGTCTTTCTGCTTGCGACTTTTTTGCAAATCTGCCATGAAATCTATGCTCTGCTTCAGGCTCTGAATTCTCTCCTAAAAATATTCAAACACATTCTTCCTAAATGTTTGTCATTAATTTTTAAAGGAATACATTTCCCCCACAAGACTCGCACATATCCTGTCATTAACTAGGGAAGAAAAACAAGCATAATTATACCAAGAGTATTATAGTTAGGAACCAGAACAATAAAGTCTATTCCTACAGTTGAGATAATTTAATTTCTAATATAAAAGAATTCTTTATAACTTTACCGTATCATCAAAAAGCTCACAGGAGAGAAACTATGGAGACTATTCTTTGCTTATACTGAATTTAAAAAGTAAAAGTGTAGTAACTTGGAACAATCTTATATCTCACAAAATGGTTTATCTTTGGAAATTCAATAATTAGGAGGTATTTTAAAGCCTACAGCACAGGAAGTACCCTTATATTCTGGTATCCTGGATGAAGACAGATGACTTTGGCATTTTTCTATGGAAACATGTTTCAAGGAGAATAAAAGGTTACTAACGCTTTCTCAGAGTGCATAATGTTCTTTTAACCAAAGAAGTCTTGTTTCTATTTTGTGAAACACATGCTTAATTTTCCACTGCATCGATATGCTGTGAAATTTTTATTATGGTTAAGGGTTTGGGGCTTCCAGACAAATGGGACAAGTAGATTTGTTCCTGGAAATCTCTGCCTTTTAATTCGAGAATTATCACTGGATAAAACATGGAGGGCAGTCTCCTCAGGGCTGCCTAGCCACAACAGGGAAGACTTTAGTAGAATAATTAAAGCTAACAAGTGGAAAGGACCAGAGGTCATGCAAATAAGAACAGTGTAGGCAGGAATGCTAAATGACTCCTCCAAGGTCACAGAATGAGTGACTTAGGCCCCTTGTCTCTCGTGCTAGGTCTTTTCTATCTCACTCTGCTATCACAGTGCAGACTGTGAGAGCCTCCCTGGGTGGTGCAGGGCTGAAAGTCTCAGTGCTACCAAGCTATTGCCAGCTACTGCGGCCTGAGTTTGATCCTGGCCAGGGAGCTGACCCACATATGGGCAGCAAACCTCTCCTGTCTCTCGCCCACTGTTCCCCTCAGCAGTGTATTTCAGTAGATACACTTATTCTGCTCCCCACTCTCTTTGATGAATCCTCTCATTCCCCGTTTGGTTCTTTGTCATTAATAATAGCTAATTCTTATTGAGCACCTACCAATGTATCAGACATAATTCTATGAGGTAAATACTATCATTATCCCATTTTATGTGACAGGAAAAAGGCTGAGTGCGGTTGACAGTAGCTTGCTGAGGTCACACAGCATCTTAATGGCAGAGCTAGAATATGAACCTTGAAGTCGGGTTGTACAGCCACTAGGCTAGAAATAGTACTCCGTGTACTATAATGCAACATCTTACTATTTAGCTACGATATCAGAAGTTATTCTACTTATGTCTACTCTTTATAAAACTAATGTCAAAAAGTCACTATTTGGGGCCTCCCTGGAGGCGCAGCGGTTGAGCGCCAGGTTGCGAGGCTGCCCACAGCCTCTGCAGCGCTGGTTCGATCCCCGGCTGCTGGATGAGGGTCCCACATGGTGCGCAGACTTCTCCTGCCGCCCACTGCTCCCCTCAGCAGTGTACTTTGTCACTCTGCCTGTTCTACTTTCTGCTCTGGCTCTGGCAAATTCTCTCTCACCCTCCCGCGCTTCTGACTGTACCCAGTGCTTGCATGCATGCATGCATGCATAAATAAATAAATGGGAAAAAAAAATAAATAAAACTTAAAAAAAGTCACTATTTGTGCATAACAAAAAAAGTAAAGAATGAATACTATCTTTATAATGAGCATTAAAGAACAGTTTTCTTAAAAACACTATTCATGGAACTCTGCTGGGTGCTCTGGCAAGCACTGCTATTAGTTAACCCAGAAAGGTAAATTTGAAGGTTTAAAGGTCACTACTATAAGGATCCCTCCCATCCTGGGTGGAGAGAACAGTCACAGGAAGCTCTAACATAGGATGGCTGGGCTCCTCAACAGGAAGAGATCTGGAAAAAAGAAAGATCACAGAGAAAAAAGGGAAAGAGGGAAAGAAAGCTCATTTTCTGTTTCTAGCCATCCCAACCTGGTAGAGTAAGATATAATGGAATCGTTTGCAAGTTAAATTAACTACATTATTTAAAGAAAATAATGATAAATCAAAGTCTATATTTTATTTTGGACATGCTTAGATATATGCTTAAACCTTCTCCTAAAAAATTCAATGTATATATTTTAAAGTGACTAAATCTTCATTTGTTGGCTATACTTTCACCTCAAATACAACAATAGCAAACATTTGCTAGTCTTTAAACATGGACTGTAGCTTTGTTCTGGATTCTGAGTCTTTCTGCAAAGAATTGTATGAATATTTATTCCCCTTTCCTCTGCAAATTTTGCTGACATTGGGTAACTAGTTCTCATTTGTTTCTCAGGTCATTAGGGAAGATGGCTAACTATTAGGAGTGCAATGATAATAACCAATCCAAATGTTCTTCTTTCCCCAGTTAAGTGAACCCAGGGACCTCTCACAGCCAAGCACACACTCAGGTATCTGTACATCAAGCCATTTCTTTGAATGTAAAATTCATACAGATGAGCACCCTAACACCAGGAAAACATGTACATTTGCACATGACTCACTGCCACTGTGTTACACCTCAGGCTCTTCTGATTTCTTTCTCCTTCCTATGTCTTCTACCCACTCAGTTCTGCTCTGCAAAATCTCGCTTCTGTTTTGCTTTTTTTTTTTAATAGTCTCTTCCTATGCTATCAATTGCCTGGGAGATCACAGATTCAACATTCTCTACATATGAGAACACTGAAGCCTAGAGTGGTTAATGTCTAAACAAGATTCACAAGTTAGTGGGAAAGAGTTAAAATGAAAATTCAATCTTCTGACTTTCTATTGGGGTTAAGAGCCAGGATTACCTCAGCTAACTTGTCATCTTACTCACAGCTATGAGAAAGACTTCAAAAGATGCCACTTAATAGTGAGTTCTTTTCTTCTAGTAGATGAACAGCCATCAGCTCAATTCACCCTCAAGGTCTTTCATCAGCTGTCCTCCTGAGATGATACTTCAGTAATTTTCTGTGACTATGTATCCTATCTGTTTTGAATAAGCCATCATGACCAAGCTTGCTCACAGAGCATGATGCCATCCGTGCCTCTCCACACAACCCGGCACCCCTCTCCGCCCCCTGCCTTTACTACACACCAGAGCTGATCCTTGAAGGGATAGTCTGCTCCCGGGGGAGGTGACTTTGAGATAGTTCCAAGTTATTGCTCATTTGTATATTCTGTTTCCCTCTACTGGGAGGACTTGCTGGGCTTTACCAGCACATCAGAGTTCATCCCACAAAGGGAAAGAGAGCGCTTTGTAGGAAAAGTCTAATTCTCCCCAGCAATTGAACCTGGAGTTCAGGCTGATGCTTCTTTCATAGGAAAAATAAGTCTAATGACTATCACTCAAGAGTATCTTAATAATTATAATGGGATGTCAAGTCTTCTTATTTTAATTTTCTACTTTATACTAAGGAAAAAAATTTAATTTTTAAAAATAAGTTTAATATTTAACATTTCATACTTTAACGTGAGCTTCCTATAAAATG